ATAAAAGTGACACCAAAGCAAATTGGGACTAGTCATCACTACGAAGTACTCATCATACATCCGTCTCAAGAAACAAATTGCCTCACTGCAAAGAAATAACATTTCCTTGAAGAAACAAGACTAAAGGAAGGCCAGAAAATGCACACACTCAATTATTCATTACATTAGATGTTCTGCTCAGCCCCAGTATCCACAAACATAAAAATTTTTCATTCCTGGCTATAAGAACCTATAGAACTAATAATTACTTAAGAGTAAGATGCTTCCACACATGTAATGATCTAGATAAGTATAAAGTATGTTTGTCAAAAGAAATCTGCGTTTCCTCACTGGGCAAATTGTTGGCGCATGATGGTAATTCGGCAGCAGGCAGGGGTCTTCATGACTCAAAAAGTTGACTTGATTGGCAGAATTCAGAGTTGGACAGGAGGCTGTAGAGTCCCACTCGCCGGCTCTCGGCAGCCTCAACTGCGGAACACGGCCAAGTCAGACAACACAAAAGGACCACACTAGAACTATAGAATTGCTTTCGATTCATTTAGCAAGACGCAGCTATGGAAAAACAAATGAGAGCATTCAAATAAACCTAAGCCATTGCTGAAGTCCCAGGAAAGCAAGAGAAAAGACAAACTGATCCTTGATCGGTTTTGGATTTCTCAAATAAGGATTAACAGTGACAATGTGTAAGAGAAAGATCTTTGAGAATATAAAACTTTGCTGTATAATGGGGTTGAATGAAAAATTAAATCACATTTGTTTTCCCAAAGCAGAAAGCAGCATTGGCAGAGAAATTGGATATCTTAACTCTATTCTAATACAACTACAGTAAAGATCAACTTCAAAATTTCATGGGGCAGCAAACATAAGGAGGTGCCGTATGACATGTGTCAGCAATGGTCCGATCATTGTCCAAGTGCATTTCAATAAAAGTTCAAAAGGCATGCAATTAACAATACAATTTAGAAACAAAAACTAGAATTTATAATTTTGACAGTAGAAATAAATAGTCAATAAACGTGTGTGAACATAACATTCATTCATCATCAGCATGATTCAAGTGCTTACACTTGGCCCCAGGAAAATTACACAAGAATCTCAGAGAGATCCTGCTTTTCCCACTTTCAAACAGAGCTTCGGAACTCGTTTGCACATCATGCTGTAAACATGCTGCGAGAACTTTTTGTCTTAGGCTTGTGAGTAAAAAAAAGCAACCACCATAACAGCAAACTATACTTAACAGCATGATTGAGGATATTTGGTTCAAGAACAAAGCAAGATATGAGAAAGGTATGCACACCTTCATCACAGTTCAGCGACGTGCCTTGCAGCTTTAGTGGTATGATGAACAGAAAGAGAGGGGTGCTCAGAGACAACTTCATTCATGAAATAAAATTATGTAAAATTGACTGATACACAATGAACAGAACACTGTGCAAGAATAGCAAGCTCAACAGGGAAAATAGATAAATTCCAAGGTACCAGCAAAATGCTGCTCAAAGCAAGGTGTTGTGGAATGAATAAATATATCTGTGTAACAGGGTTCTAAAGAGAAGAAAGCTCCAAAGGTAAAAATATAGAGGCTTCAAATTATAAGAAAACAAGTTTGATAATTAGTTGTTTGTTTGTTTGTTTTTTTGAAAAAAAAAATAAAAAATAAAAGGAGAAAAGGATTGCAAAACTAAATATTCATAGAATTTTCTTCACTGAATTGAAAACTGATTAGACAATTTGATGATCAGATGCAACTTCACTTAGTATGATACAATCAACATCCTTCTAGAGGAATTGTTTTGAATTTACAACTCATATTTTTGAACATTTGCACACTTTCCACATGGAAACTCACAATACAGTGAACAATGGATTAAACTGGCAGATCAGGAACTACAATGTATACAGGTGCATAGTGGTAAGATACAGAAGCATCAGATTAGTGGACTGTTGAATAGACAACACAAATCCTCATTCTGGTCACTCACCGGACTCCCACCCATCCTCCTCCTCCTCCTCTTCTTCTTCATCTTCTTCAGCTGTTGAAGGATCTGTCGAGTCAGCTTCTGAGGACTCACTTGGAGTTTCAGTTAAGTGCAGAGCATTGCCAGAATGCAAGCAGGGTTTATGCCACTCTGATGGCTCTGTAGGAGGAAGTCGGGCCATCAAAACATGAACCTGCAGTAGAGAAGATAATATTAAAAGTAATTCCCTGAAAGATGTTTTAGAAGTACAAATCTTCTGGTCATTCATCAATACTAAATATATCAATATCTAACCCTGAAGTCGGCAGCAAATATTTTATTTTGCTTGTCCTTGTGAGCATCGTCCAGTTCCCATTTGTCAAGGGTAAGAACAACCATTTTTGCATCAGGGTCAAGTGATGCCAAAGACCGTGTTCTACAAAGAGCAACAAAAAAGAGTGCATTAATAAAATATGCCATCAATTGGATATGAAAGTCTGCTGAGAACAAAAACCAAAACTCACCTAACTGACCGACTGCTTGCATCTACTTGCCCGATTTGAGCTTGTTCATCATAACTGAGAGCTCTAATCGTTCTTTCTGGTCTTTCAACCTCATTGCCATTTTCTTTCATATCAGGTACATTTAAATTTGCTTCTTTTTTTACAAAGAAAGTATTGAACCAAAAATGGAAAAGCTTTTCCTACAAACAAAAAATGTATTAATAATGTATTTCAATGTTGAAGGTGATCATCATTTAAAAAGATTTAACTCATACCTTTCTCATCATTTTTGGTTTATTGAAAAAGTCCACCTTGATGTCACCTTGTAATGGTACCAGATGCTCCATTTTTATTGTGAGTGATGGGACACCTTTTTTAACTTCATATGTTGGAGATACAAAGTGTTTCTCACTCCCCACTGATATTGAAAAAGTTATAGCTAAAAATTCATAAGAAAAACAGTGGTAAGGTTTTAGTTCTGCACCCTTCATCTGCACATAATAGTTTGGTACTCACTGCTTTGCCCTCCATTTAATACTGGCGTTGGTTCAAGCCGTATTTCTCTGATTGCTAGTGTTACGGGGCGGTAAACCAATTGCTCTTGGACAAGAGAAGCATAATATTCAACATATCTGCGCTGACTGGGAATGGTCACACCCTATAAAACAAAAGTAAGATTACAATGCAGAGAAAGTTGTAATGAGATTCTCCTACAAGAATTACCAATGCTAGATAATACATACTTTTTTGTCATGTGTCCTTCTTTCCCCATAATAGCTAAGAGCATCACTGGCTTTTTGAAAATGTTTAGCATGCAACATATAGCAACATACCATTGTTCCGGTCCGCCCCTACAAAATAGAGAGGTTTAATTTGGAATCAACAGAACATGAGAAGGTTTTCAAAAATGCAGATTTACTACCATCAGATACATACCTTTCCAGCCTTACAATGAACTGCAGCTACATTCTTAGTATCTTGAGAAAGCCAATTATGAACATCAGCACAAAATGGTTGAATAACCTCCATTGTTGGAGGATTGTGGTCATCAAATGGATAATTGGCCACCCTCTGATGAAACCTTGCTCCATCATAAGATCTTTCAGAACATAAATTGTAAATCTTATAGTGATCCTTATGTTTCTTTTCAAGAAATTTATAAACATCGTCAATGTGATTCCTGTAAACGCCTTCTAGCTTTTCAGCTGGAAAACCCATAGCTATCAGATTGTTTTGAATATCTGAAGAAATTTCATTAAGGGAAATTAACAGAAAGTACTGGGATGAACAATTTCAGAATACCAATTAATCTATGATAATGATAACAAAAAAACACATTCATATTAAAGGTAAATGTGGAGAGCAACGTCAGAGTTAAAACATACTGGACAGGTACAGTGATGTACATGAACTGACATGTAAAACGCTAAACAAATTGTACCCACACAGAAATGTTTCTGATGTGCAGTAATTAATGTAGAATGACTTGCACAGGATGTCAATAACACACTGTGCTCGTTTTAGAGATGATGTGGTTTTTGGGCACTACCCTACACAGCAATCGCAAGGCAGGATGGAGTGATAGGGCTACTGAGATAGGAATCCATTCACTGACCACCCACCATTAAGCGCATTACACTAATACTCTTGAATAAATTGAGTTGAAGATATAATAAGAAATGCAATAAAGGATACATGTGAGGTCGAGATCAAAGCCATCTTGAGTGTACCTCTTCCGTCGTTTACTGACCAATCCCTTGATGGGATTTGGCATTTTCATATTGGCCATTTTCAAGTATTGAGCATACCACTCTTCAAATACATGTCCTTCTTGATCGTTTTCCTTCACTATTACATTTGATTGTGGGTTAACTTTCAGGTCTTTTCGAAAAAAGGTGCAATCACCCATAAAAATGCTAACCCAAACATTAGGTTAAGCAGTCACTTTATGAACACACACAAGAGACGCCGAGATAGTTGTGGCCATTAGATGAACGTTTCTCCAAGACACCAAAAGTAATTTCGTTCAAGATAAAGTTTGACGACACGCGTGAACCTGGTGCTCATCTAAATGTGAACACAGGCCGACTTAGGCCTACACTAGACGAAGACCGTGGACCAATCTGTCACGCTCTCTGGCTTAGGCCCACAATTAGAGGCCAGACAAAAAAATAAAACACTCGCGACCCATGTGCAGAAGATGGTCATTCAGTTTTCAGCCGATATAATCACATTCATTGATTTCTAAACTGTCTAAGATGTTAAACTAAATCATGTTCCTTTGTGTAAGCTGGAAGAAACACAAGAGCACGAACCAATGGCGTCTTCGTACCAAAGGAAAACAAAAGAGTTAGAAGGAAAGAGGAAGACAGTCCGACAGCAGGCAGAGTTTGATTCTGTATGTAAGATTTCTCATCTCACCGGAACTCCTTCAAATTGCAGCGCCAAATACACAACGCGAGTTCTTGGTATGAAACACGAGATTTACGTCGTTAGTTCACGCAAATTAATTTTGTTCGTGCGAGACTCTTCTCTCTTCTAGAGGGGGCAGAACTACATCATGTGGGGGCAGACATCAGACATGACCCCCTCAAAATGACATATAAAGGACGCCTGGTGGATGGGCAATTTGCAGTGCAATCCACTTGGAAATAGGCAAAAAGTGCAACATGACGTCATTACCTCCCAATAAAAAGAGTTGGCACGCACCTGACTTTGTTGATATTTTTTTGTAGTGACTTTTATCGGCGGGGATAGAATCCGGGACTACCGATTAGCGCGAATACTATTTGTAATACCAGGTGATTAGCCCCGTTCACTTCTGTAGTTATACTGTACCGCACGCAAGTGCGGGCGGTTGCTTACTCGCTCGACCCATGAGGCGCCGAGGCGCCGCGCACAGTGGCGACAGGCAAGCCCGCCCGCTCTCCTGCGTGCGGTACAGTATAACTACAGAAGTGAACGTGATTAATCAGCCACCTGGTATAAGCTCGAACCTGAATGGGTTTTCAAAACCATTTTATGAAACTCTTTTTTTTTTTTTTTTTGAGGGAGTTGCAGTCCAGTGTTTGAACGTTTGAACCATTACGCAAGATTCAAAGTGTTCGCGCCTTTCTGTAGTCGGAGTCGCCCTCTAGCGGCAAAGAAGAGCACTGAAGTGAGTCTTTCTCGTAATAACTTTGTTAGCCGATAGATGGCGGTGGCTATGCTTCAGGTCTTCAAATCTGGAGCGAATTGACAGTGGACTTCCCCTTGAGAAAGACTTCCCGGTTTCCCCATTTGCCCCTTTCCTTGTGGCGCTTCAGTACAGAATGAAGACGATTAGCCATTTCGAAGTGCACTAAGGTCAGCACAGTATCGACCAGCCTTTGAGTATAATGAGTTCTTTGATTCAGCCATTAAGATATTAAGGTGTTTGCTGCCAAAGTTTGCTGTTGAGTGTATCATTACTATTTGCAGTGTTAATAATTTTTTTGAAAGGTGTTTCTTTTTAGAGTTTTTTTTCTTTTTGATATCATTTCTTCCATGGTGGGGGATATGTGTTGAGTTTTGATAAATCAAGATCAAGAAATTTGATTAAATTTCAATTATATTTAAAAATTGAAATGGTGATGTATCACAGATATGCTTGCAATACAACTCAAACATCTAAATAAATTTGCCAAGGCATGAAACATCAATATATGATCTATCACAGGTACAAAGTAACAATCACAATCAACACTTCCTACTCAAAATAACCTTTAGCTTTCAACATATTTTCAAAAAGCAGAAGTGTCAACATATTTACCCAATCTAATTAAAGCTTGGACCCTCTTAAAAATTAAGGAACCTATTTAAATGCCCACAAATGAGATCCATAATATTGGTAAATCCCTCCCACCCCTCCACAGGTTCTCTACATTAAAGCTTTTAAACCATTAAAGTCTATATCTCCACAGTACAAAGTTGATTGAGATCCTCAAATTTTCTTGACTTAACAAGCAGTCTACAAGTTGTACAAAGTGATAGTCTGAAAATCTTTCTTAATTATTAAATATAGACTATCCTTGAAAGCCCTATTAACCCATGAATGGCAAAAACACCCTTCCGAATCAGTTAAGCTCAAAACACACACACACTGAGCATTTGTGAAAGGCACACGAGCATCAGCAAATTTAAGGCACATACAGTACATTTACACATCATCCCACGCAACTTGCACTTGCGTTTACCACGGGCGCCACATGGGCTCGACTTCGACGGGCTTCTTGACGGAGTAGTCGACAACCTTGAGGAGGCCGCCGGTGAACTCCATGGAGTGGTGGGCGGGCGCCACGGCGGAGGTGATTGGGGAGGGTGCGCGCGGCGACGCGGAGTTGCGGGAAGAGGCGGGTGTCAACGGCATGGCGTACTCCTGGGGCGCCGGCGACGGGCAGGAGGCAGAGGAGGCGGGAGACGCAGGGGGCGTCGCGGAGGACGGGGTGGTGGCGGCGACCTGGACGCTGAGGGGTGCCAGCTTGTCCATCTCGTTGAGGCGGTGGCCGAGGTGGGTCATGAGCGTGGTGCCGAGCTGCACGTCGACGCCGGGGGTGGCGGCGAGGCAACGCGACACTTCGGTGGCACAGTGAGTGAATCCGGCGCGGAAACGGTCGGCATCGGTCACAGGGTTGGCGGCCAGGCGCTGCTCGCGGCGCAGGCGGTGGAGGTGGCGCACGGTCAGCTCCAGGATGTCGGCCTTCTCCAGCTTGCTGACATTCTCGCCCTCGGCAGTCAGGGCGCCGACCATCAGCTCCTTGAGCTCGTCCAGGCAGCGGTTGATGCGGGCGCGGCGTTTGCGCTCAAGCATGGGCTTCATCACCTGAGGGAAACAAAAATAAAGAATTTGGTTAGATGACTGCGAGACATGGTGGTTTTTGAAAAATCAAGTTGTCTTTAAAATGGGGAATGCCAAAGGGGACGCGAGCCGCAAAGGGCGAATTAAGACACGTTAAGGCGTGAGTGCGAGATTGGAGAACTTAAGCAAATTTAGAGGGAAGAACGGGTGGTAAACATCTTGCGACGTATGAACTAAACGATAATTACCTTTCTGTATTGGTAAGTCCTTGAGATGGGCTGGACCTGCTCCATGTCCATATCCATGTCCATGTCGACGGGAGACATAGCTTGTTCGCTGATCATGATGATTGCTGTTCACACAAGGCACTGAACACTGCACTGCACTAAGGCACGACACACGACGAGAAGCTCGTAAGGCGGGTAATCCAAGGGAGTCGAGCAGACGACGAGAGCAGAGTCAGAGACGACTGCGGCAGAGAGCGGGCAAGGCACGATGTGCACTGCTCGAGAGCTCAACTTGGAATGATGGCCGGAGTGGGGAGCGGGGCGCTTAAGTAGGCGAGCCCAGGTACGCGCGGGCCCGTGAGTGCGACGGAGAGGGAGACAGCGCTGGCTCGCCGGGCGCGCCTGGCCGTGTCGAGCCGGGCCGGGCCGCCGCAGCGTGCCAGCACACCCGCCGCCGCCGGGCCCGCCCGCCCTCCCCGCTCCCGTCCCCCCGCGCCCGGGACCGTCGGATCGTGGGAAACACTCCCGAGCCCACGTTCCCATGCTATGCCAGCCACCTGTGTGCGGGGAGCATGGCGGGTCGGCGAGGGGCCGGGCGGGCAGCTGCTTCTTGGTCGGGCGGGCGGGGAGGGGAGGGCCTCTTTTCTTTGGAGGAGAGGCGGAGGGGCGGGCGGGGGCCCGGGGAGGCGACGGTGGTCGGAGCCCCTCGTGGCCGGCCAGCCCTATGGCTCGGCATGGGCAGGACCGGCCACGAGAGCTGCTGTTCTCTCTCTCTCTCCTTCTCTCTACACCACGTGCAAGGGCCCTGTCTCTCTCTCGACGGGGACCGATTCTCGCCGCAGGCAAGACACGCGCAGTCAATGTGCCTCCGTCCTTCTCCTTCCCTACCGAAGCCCCGGCAGCCTTCCTTCTCTGCCTCTCTCTCTCCTCCTCATCCTTGCTGCCGAGAGCGCGCGCTTATTCACTTTTTGGAGGAAACGCGCGACGAAGACCGGGAGAGGGAGAGAGACGCCGCTAGAGCTCGACGCAACGGAAGGCGCGAGGGAGGGGAGGGGGAGGGCTATCGCGTACGTACGTTCCTGGACACACTCCAACCACGCGCAGGATTCCCACACTCGGAGGGACCATCTGCTACCGCCCGGCCCGCTCGCCCCCACCTCCCCCCTCGCCGTCTATCTGAGGCGCGTTCTCACGGGCTGCTGGCTGGGGCGGGGCGGGGCGGGCGGGGCGCTCAGCGTGTGGTTGACTCGCGCCGCGCCTCGCGCCCGTCGCACGCCAGAAGAGAGAGAGAGAGAGAGAGAGAGAGAGAGAGCGAGCGAGAAAGAGAGAGCCTCGTGTCGGCACGCACTGCAGGCAAATGAGGGCCCAAGTGTCGTGTACTCGGTAGCAGTGCTTAATTAAGCGGTCGACACTTTATCATCTGCATGGAATCAGCGCGCTGCTCAGAGCGGATGCTGCGGGCGCGCGCCACAGTTCTGAGCCTTTACACTGAGACGAATGAGATGAGAATCAAAAAACGAACTTGACACGTCTAGTCCAGGGTGACCTCACGGATGGTCGGTCACTCGTGCAACATCGGCCAGTCTAGGTCCTGGGGCCTTTCCCGCCACCGCGCCACTGACGTATCGCCAGCGGGCATTTCAGAGGAGAAGGGAGAGCAGAGGGCACATGAGTGCAGGCCCAATGTCAATCTGTAGACTATGCGTCAAGTCCCGCGAGCAGTCCTCATCGAGTCCTGCTTCGCAAGTAAATCGCGGCAATGCTGATAAAATAGATGCGTAAGAATGGGCGTTCTTCTTGTGCGTAGACCACACACGTCGTGACTGGAGCACTACGTACTGGGTTACTCAACTCTTCGTCTTCAACATCTTCAACGAGGGTTATAACGGATGCTTAACTTGAGCCACCCATTTCTCGGGTCACCCAGTCGGTGATCAACTTAAAATCACGCGTTATGTATGTATCAGGTGGCTGATTAACCGCGAGCCCTTCTGTAGTTATTCTGCACCGCGTTCGGGCGGGCATGTCAATCGCTCCCCACCGCGCCTTGCGGGCCGGGCGAGTAGGCAACCCACCCGCACTCGTGCGTGCCGGTACAGCATAACTACAGAAATGAGCGGGGTTAATCAGCCCACCTTGTAAGTTGGGGCTTACTCATGACAACGTGTGTACAAAAGTAGGCGCCATGTGTTTGGCCAGCCCCCGAACAACGACCCCAGCCGTCGGGAGTCACCACTTGATTTGTTTAATTGTGCGATTGGATTTAACCCATTTTCTCCCGCCATCACGGCGATGGATGCGATTAAACGCCCGCGCGTCGCGTCGCAAAAACCAACAAAAAAAACCCACGGGCTGCGCGGGACGTTTCCGATTACAGAGAAATCATACGCAATATAATTATGATGAGCAGCGCACCTCGCCGTGATCTACCGCCCCGCGCGGCCGCCGCTCCGCAGTCCGACCGCCGCGGGGCTCATAGTAATTCGATTTCCCGAAAAAGTGTCGTATCAGCGCCAGAGCTGCGATGTGTCACCCGCCGTCTGCCGGAGGCCCCGCCACGCACACGGTCGAGCAGCGACCCGGGGCGGAAGCGGGTTATCGCCACCTACCCCGATCTCATCTGCGAATCAGAAAC